TTYYYCGTATTTGAGAATAATTTGTATAGAATTTTARAAGATAAGAGCCCACAAAGTTATCAAATTTTACTAAAAATTGTTGACCGYCGGTCACCTTAACATGACATTTCGTTGTGTAAAATATAATGGCTTTGAAGCTCTGTAGATTTAAAATTTTTAAAGAATTTCTATCAAACATGGAAAATTTTTATATTTTAGGAAGCTTTCTCAATGGCAGTAAAAGATTTGGACGCTGAATGATATTTTCTTTTTTAAAGTGTTTCGCGTGTTCTCCCTATGTGATTTTTTTACTGATAAGACAAGAGAGATCAATCTCTTATTACTTTAACCTAAAATTCCTWGCTTATGAGGGCGTGAAATGACGGCAAACTTACGTCTTTGTAGTAGTTATTTGTATAAATTGTTTTGCTTTTGTTTATTGACTCTGAAGCCATGATTATAAGTTTTCACCGACAGCGAAATGATCACCAAGCTGTAATACGGGCCTATGCCTACTAAAAATTGTTTTATCATATAATTATCGATAAAATACCTAGTATATGAAAATAACACATTAGAGGTTTCTCTCTATATATATATAGTGGAAGTAAGAAAATAAATTATTTTACGACATAATTTGCTTTCATATGAAATTATATGATAAACAGAATATTACAAGGTCTGAAAATTTCTCAGTCGAAGATAAACTCCATATCTCCGCGCGCCCATGTAATATCCTCTATTTCTTTGTTAGAAATGTGACTTTTAGACACTATCAAAGTTGGTTTGAAAAGATTTCGAAAATACTTGAGTGTGACTATTAAACTTTATTCAACGGGTTAAAGCAAAAAAGATTAGATGAAATTACCGATTTYCAACATTCTKGACATACACRCTATTTCTYAGTAATTGAACTTTCATTAAATTCTCAGCTAATATTAGCGTTTAATTATAAAATCGTTAAAACCCAAGATAGCTTTGTAAACACATATCTGGCTTGGCTTGACCTTAGTCCATATATAACCGAAATTTGGTTTAGTAATGAAAGCAACAGAACGAAGGGTTAATGCACGGCCACGCGCGTTGTGCTTCAAATTGGCGCGAAATATTCCCGCCAAAACTTTTTTTGTAACATTTATTGGAACTTTAAGTTAAAATCAGTGTGAATTTGTATGTTTATTATTAAATATGTTTTTTTTTACAAGGTAGTGAATAGATTTAGCTGTGCAAACGGGCAGGGTACACAGAACACATCTGTGAGCAATATGGCGGWTAACACCGACGTTCCTTCGCTAACCTCAGTATAGTGTGTGGCAACGTCAAGATGCACACATTGTTTCTTGAATGAGAGATTAAGCGGCTCCCCGCTGACGCTTTTCTCGGCGACAATTTCAAACATCCTTTGCCTACAGCTTTAATTTATATTCAGTACTTGAATTAGCTTCAGTCATTTGATCAAATGACGTCGTTTTCAAATGTAAGGTCTAGTTAGCTATTGGAGTGAGAAAAGAAAAGCGAATTAATCCATGCATTATTACCCTCTAATTCCACTTATTATTTTCTGGGGTGCCTAAATTACAAACCCGCCTTATATTTTTTTTTATTTTTTTATTTTTTATCGTGTTAGATTTTCCTCTCTAAAAACCGTCTTTTCTTTCCTTGAAATATGATTATTTAAAATTATAAACACTGACTATTTCAGTAATTAGAATCAAAAGTACATTAAACTAGAGTGAATCAATAAACCCGTGAAACAAAATTTGACAATTAAACTGTGATAGTCAAATAGACACAGAAGAAAACAATGGAATTAGGAAGTACTAAGGTTGTATAAGTGGAATGTCTAGAGTGATCGCACTTAAACCGTGCAACTGGACAAACTAAATAGCGCTATTTAGTTGTATTTAGTAAATCGTGCATGCGGCACGCAAATTTAAYTGAATTGATACAAATGAAGACTTCATTACCGACTTACTTCAGGTCCACTTTTAGTACAAATTAATACTACTTAGATTTTGTAMAGTTGCATGGTTTAAGTGCGATCACTCTAGTGTATTTTCGCTCTAGACCTAATYCACCTATATACAGTAGAGTACGTTCGCCTCAGCTGGAACTATGTTGAGTAAATCCATTGGATCAACTTCAATATCATTTTCAATATCTCAAAATGCTTTTATCTAACTCGCCTACGCCTCGTGGTTCCGAATAAATCTTAACTGTTCCTATATTACATGGTTGGTATATATGATATGGAGTTTTATGTTAAACCACTGAACTTATCAATAATATAGATAGCGGTTTGTTTTAGCCTGAAGGCACTGCTACAAAGTTTTTCTTCTCGTTTGTTATCTGTTCGTGACTCTCGCCCTTAAACTCGAGGAGTCATTGATATATCGTCAAATCATCTGCTTTAATATTATTGAATCTTATTAATAGTCATTAATTAGTAATTAGAATGTATTCAAATTCTAAATTCAACGCATTTAATCCGTGTAATTGTTCAAAATCTCCTACTGAAGCAGATACATCCTTTTAACCATTTTTCGTTTTTTTTACCTATTTGTTAGTATTTAACTGGTTTTATTTCATGGTTTTCCTGCGTATGCTCTACAACATTGCAGAAAATATTACAAAGATTGGAACCCGTTAAATACAATTTGACAATAAAAGTGTGATATTCAAATAGACACAAAAGAAAACAATGCACTTAAAATGAACCAAGGCGTATTAGTGTACTATCTGTTTCACGGTTTTTTGGTTTCACTGTAGTTTAATTTCACAGTTGAAGGCAAACACTAACACGAAGAACAACTTTAGTATTCAAAAAGCAAATGTATTTGTACTTKACTGTAATTCAAAGTTATATGGTAAATTCATCAGTCGCAATAATATTTCGTTCTAACATGTAGGTCAGGATTATTCTTATCACTGCGGGGGGAGGGGTAGGAGAAGGTTTTYTTGAGAGTTATCARTGGTCAAACGAATAAGTTATCTCGATAGGAATCGCCGCCAAAGAACGTACAGCTGTTGGCTACAGAATTCTAAASTAATTGCCATTTTTATCATTTCTCAGGTTTGGTTTCAAAATCGTCGAGCAAAATGGCGGAAAAGAGAGAGRTATTCTCAAGTTCCCCTCCCTGGGCGTGGCATTGGGGGTTCRCCTTACGAGACCAGCCCTTCCTCGTCATGGTCACGTGACGACCCAAACAATATCAGCCAAGGAGGACCAATCCCAAGACACCTTCCCCCTCACGTGACTTTGCCAAGTTATGCAGGCGTTTTACCGCCGATTCCAGCAATGGCAGGACGAACCTCACCGGGGCATCAAGGCAACATGGTAAATTCATCACAACTACATAGAGCGCATGCCCATCAGCAAGGACCGCTGCCTAATGTTACTATTACTTCTTCGTCGATTGTACCAAGTCATAACCCACCATCTCTTCGTCCAACCCTTTCACCTCCACGCGCATGTCATTCTCCTCCATCCGCTGGAATACAAGTATCGCGGGACTGTCGAATTGAGGGGGAGCRCGACCCGGAGACTGGACAATGCGTCGTACGTCATAGCTCTAGTATTGCGGCGCTGCGGTTAAAAGCCAAAGAACATGCCGTTGCCATGGGGATGGTCAGGGCTTATAACATGAGGGCTGATGTTTAGCYATGGATGTGTTTTCCACTTCTATTACCGTGCCTGCTTGTATTTGAAAAATTCTTAATTAATTGAGTGACGCACCGATACAATACTTCGTAAAAAACAGGAATGTCATTTTGTTATTTTTGGACGTTATTGCAGTTTGTTCTGGAATTGGATTTCCTGTATTACCTTTTCCCTCTATCCTGTGGCAGAGACTAAAAYTGATCCTCAAGTGAAGGAGGAGTCGATCATTAGAAAAGTAATGTTTTTTTTATAAATTTTCAACTTTCTTTGGAAAACCCGAATAGATTCCTCCTTAGTTTTTTTTAGTTTTTTTTATTTTTTTTGTTTATTTTTTTTTTAAATTGCTGGGATGTTCTTTTTTTACATTTTGTAATATTGCTTTCCCCAACACAAATTCTCCAAATCAGTTCATTTGTAAACATGCTGTCTAGGAAGGTACGGTTTACGAGTTGTGGCTGAAGAAATCATTAAGGATCGGGCATTTTTGAAAACTTCCTTTTTGTCAGGCCATTACGTTTGACTCTTTGTGTTCTTGTTGTAAATATTCCATCGACGACTTTCAGAAATGCAGTTAGGTCACGGCTGCCCATCGAGGGACTAATGACGAAGTAGAATTGAAAGCATCAAAGGAAACATATGAAGAATCGCACTTGTGTCTTATGGCTAAATTTTGAGAGGTGTATATGTTATGTCATTAATTTTTCGAAGTACTGAAACAAGACGCCATCTTTACTAAAGGGNTCGCCCCATGTAAGAGAATCCAGAGAACTAGAGGATTCCGGATTCCAAGCGCTGGATTCCGGATTCCGAAACATTGGATTCCGGATTTCAAGCCTTGGGATTCCGGATTCCAAAGAATTTTTGTTTTAGATTCTGTATAATAAATGGCCTGATTTTCAGATTTTTTTTCCTGAAAATTTTATATTCAGCGTGTCAGTAGCCTGCGCAGGGGCGTCAGCGGGACGATGTCCTATGTGTTTTTTAGGTATCAAAATTTTTGCTGGATTCCAGATTCTGGATTCCAAATATTTGGATTCCGGATTCCAGGATAGGGATTCCGGATTCCAAAGCTGTTTTTTAGTGGATTCCGGATTCTCTTCCGCGGGTCGAAACATGCCTACGTCATCATTACTGCAACATGGCTACAATTGTCGTTATCAAACACTTGTTTTAAATCTCTCCAACCGTTGTAGCTATGTTGCAATGATGCATGTGATAATTCTAAGCAAAAGTTGTACCGTCTAAATTGGTCTTAAGGGTGACGTTTGAAACCTCTTTTCCGTGTCTCGCTCCTATTCTCCTAATATCGCCAACCGTGACATATGGGCGTCATTTTTGAAAGTCGTGTATTGTGTTTATATATTTAATGTGATAGCCTATTTTATCGAATTGCAAGAGATTTTACTTATTGTTTCATCATGTAAATATCCTAGATGAACGATATTTTGTGGAATAAATTGTCAACCTTGTCTTTGCTTGTAATACCATTTTGTCATGTATTAATGTTTTGATCACCGGAATAAAATACTTTCTTGGTCTAATTTAAATAAAGACGCAAGGTAAACAGGGGGAAGACACAAAAGAGGAGAAGAACTGCTAAGAGCAGAGGAAAAGCAAAATTTGAAGAATGACACTCAACAAACAAACCTCGAAAAAGCCAAAGCTATAGCACTATCCTATAGMACCTATGGGAGTAGCCTAATAAGGAATACAGTGCAACCTCTGGGAATGACCAACAGAAGAGTTCTATAGTAAATAAACAAAATAAATAAACGAGTGGCTGCTCAATCATGGGTCCATCATGAGATCGAGGTTCAATGACGTGTTTCAACTGTAATAGAGAAGCCATCAAGAAGTTACCTGGGGAGTTGCTTGTTCGCTTGATCTTAACAACACTAGGCGCAGAACTGAGTAAACTCGCGCTTTTGATATTGAGTTAAGCAGTAGAAGAATCTTTCAAGGTAGAATTTTCACTCGTAAGAGTTCTCTCATAATATTTCGCTCGTAAAGTAATCTCTCTCAAAGTTTGGGGAAAGTACAGTCCCAAAATGAACACACATTTTCTAAACGCTTGTCCACCATTATTGAAGTGCGGTTCAACATTTCATTGTGCGCATGCCTACTACTACTCATATATGCGTACGCATGCGCTGATTTTGGTCATTTTGTTGCTGAAGGAGGAAAATGATAAAATAAATAACACTAACGATGTTAAATTTATAAATTGCCGCTTTCGCGCGAATAATTAAAAAGCAGCAATTAGATGCATGATGTAATTATCCTTTATTCAATAAACTAATATATATGCTAATTATGCAACTAAGTTGTTGGCAGTGCATACTAACAAGCCAGTTCAAAAACGTAACACTTGCGTTAATCAYGTAAGAATAAAAGGCCTTCGATTAACTCTCTCGACATGGAACTTTCAATGACTACCTGCACCTTGCAGAACTCACCAAACTAACATCTCTTTTGATCAACTCCGCGATCTCATTGTCTGGTTTGGAATACTTATTCCTGAGATCGCATACCATGTACTTTTGCGAGGCAGAAAGGCGAGATGGCCCACGAATGTCATCATCTTCGTCTGCGTAGCTTAACCCATCATCGAAGTAGATGTGGCCCGGGTCGTCACTTTGCTGGTTTTGTCGACARTCGGCATTAAAGTTGAATTTTGTTGCGGCAGCGCGGACGATTTGCTGAATTTGCTCTTTTGTTGGGGTCACCATTAAAGCCATGTCTGTACACTTTGAGTTTCCGAGGTCTGCATTTGTGGAGTGTTCGTTATAGAGGTCTTCGAAACTTTTGCGGCCATCTTTACAACTGGGTAAAAAGAATGAGACAYTAAATTACTTCTTCCGATTACAAGGGGCCATGGTGCTCGGACGTTCAATGAGGTTGTGTTCCATAATTCTCAGGGACCGCTTATTTTTTTTAGTCGTGAGGGGTGTGGAGCTGGTGGTTTTGTTTTGAAAGGGGGGGGGGGTGCCCAAACAAAAACTTTGTTAGAGGGAGGGCCGTGTAAAATTATGAAATTACCCTATATTACTTGTATAGTCAATGCAACAGAGCGGGACAGAGCGTTATTTGTTTCGTTTGCGAGGGAGGAAGGGGGGGGAGGTATTAGTAATTAACTTTCTTGATTTTTTGGCTCAATTTCTCCTCCCCCCTAACAGATAAATATTGTGCAGTCCCTGGAAAGCACAACAAAATACTAGGGCAAAATGCCATAGACATGAGCAGGATTTGAAGTTTTTCTTACCCTTGTATGACGTTCCCCATGACCTGGAAAATCTTTCTGTAGCAACGGAAACCAYCGAGTAATTTTTCCAAGTACATCGGTACTTGGCTCATTGTTGTATTAAAACTATTTATATTGCTCCCTCCAAGAGAAGTGGTTGCAAACTGGTTTAAGAATCGATAAGCCTCTTGGACATTAGGATTCGTTCTTTCAGGTAAACATTTCAATATCAGTTTGATGGCTGGCTGTACTGAATGTGCATTCATWGTTGTTAAGATGTTATCATCATACTAAAGCAATAACAAAACAAAAAGTGGAAACGTTACCCTTRAAGAAAGCAAAAGGTTTGGAAGTTTAGTAGGAATGGACCAATCAGAGCGCGTACCACTGGAAGAAAACGCGCGCTTTTAAAGGTTGTAAATTTGATGTAAATATAATGTAAGTGTCCAAAATTCTGTAAATTTGATGTAAATCACTGTGTCCAAAATCATTTACATCAAATTTACAGAATTTTGGACACTTATATCATATTTACATCAAATTTAAAACCTTTAAAGCGCGCGATTTTCTCCAGTGTACTCAGGTCAAATCACCAACGCTACACTGGGCCAGGTTGTTCAAAACCCGATTAAAGCGTTAATCAAAGGTTAGCTTCATAATTTTTTTTTAAAGTTCAAGATTAACACTGATCGAGCTKTTATTTATTTGAACAACCCGCCACCTCACATTGTTTGATATGCAATTATTTTGTAAGCAAAAGTAATACGAGTAGTTTTGTGTTCTTGGTCAAGGACAAAAAATGCTTTGCTGTTTAACAAATTATATTTCGGCTAATTTCCAATTTTTTTTTGGAGGTACAGATCGACTACAGCTTTAATTTCTTCGACCATTTGCATTGCATTGATACTTACAAATTTTTCAATTTTAATTTTATACTCAGACGCTGCCATTGCAGTTTGCATGTTGTGGAGTACGTGGAAGAAACCCACAAACGTGTTTGCAGTGAAAAGACTCAATTGYTTGACTGTCTGACAGTTTTGACCAATGGATATTGAGTTAAGGCTCTCAAAACCTGAAACGAGAAAAAAAAGAGATGTTTCCAATTATGACAAAATGATTCATGCCAATAATCAATGATTATAATYATGAACAAAAATATAATAAACTAAAAGGTGAATCGATCTGGAAAATTATATATAGGAAGTTGCATAGTTTACGGGAAAATGAGTGAGAGAAAAGTGAGTGACAGATTTGTCTTCATCTAAAAATTCCCCCATTTCTTATCCAAATCCACGAGTTATAATGTAAGGATTGTTTGATAATAGTCAATACCTTTTTCAAAAGAATCGATCGTTGTGTTCACACTCTCGGAATATTTTTGTGCTTCCTCATACCCCACGGACAGGCCATCCCGGATAAGTTTTGCCGTTTCTCTTATTCCGTTGCTTGTTTTGAGCTCAGTGAAACTCTCGTATCTTTCGGCCTCAGTGCTGTCTCTAAAGCGCAGTGAATTTTCCAGCTTTGATCTGCGTATTGCAAAAGCGGCCTAAAGATATAACGAACAACATCAATAAAACAGAAAATATCTCTTGCAACGTGAGATTTTTTTGTTAACCAAACTATACAACTATTTACAATTATTTGTAATTGTTTGGTCTTTCATCAGTTAACGACAAAAGCCCAAAACTTGGCTTGAAACACCTAATTAAGAAAACGTTGTCCTGAGATTTAGGGATTTAGAAAGACAAAACATGACCACTGAAGCCTAATACTTTCTTTTGTATTTTAATTTAAATTTAAAATTCCTAAATAGTAAAAGTTCTTTTTTCTTGGACAAAGTTGTGTAATTAGGTGTACATCTGTTTTTTTTACCAGTTTTGATACAAATATAACTTCTGTGGGATTCGGTTGTATGTTGTATAAAGGTTGGATAAAGTTATCTACTCAATGTCAAAAACAAGTTATTCACTACAAGGCCAAAATTTACTGATGGATTTTATCATSCTRGTAAGGATTTTRYCGCTGGATATCTACCATTCGTACAACTGGCTCTAAGGTGCATATTTACACAAGAAAGCTCTGAATTACCTGACTCAAAACATAGTTTGTCAGGAACTCATTGTGTTTGTATATCAAATCTGTTGAAGACAACACATCGTAGTAGACAGAGATCATCTCGTCGATGTTGAGGACCTCATCAATGTTTCTTATACCACTTTTCACGCTTGAGAGTGAATATYTATTACCAGCGTTTCCCTTTCGTACGTACTCCTGTTAATATAAAATATAATATCTTAAAGTTTGTTTTACCACTAGAAAGGTCTTCTCCATAGTTCCCTGTTCATCATCAARGCCCCTCATCATATCTCTTCACGCCAGTAGGCGGTACCGTTCTTCTCCAAGTAATGTTTGGTCTTCCATCTTCTACGTCTAATGTCGTTGCTGAGCTTTTTCTACTTATACCATATTTCTCTTCTAACCCTCTCATTTGAGATCCTCTTCCACCCAAACTTACCGAACCGTATAAAGTTTCAAAGGTAGTTGTGCCTTTCGATCAAAGCGATACAACCGTTGAGCGTGCAATACCTATRAATAATTGTCYGTAGGTGYRAAAGAAGGTTTCTATCTTTATATTGCACGCTCAACAGTCGTCTCACTTCGATGCAAAGGCACGTCTACCTTTCAAGATGGCGCAGAGAACCTTGAAGGTGACTATTACGGTCAATAACCATCAACATTCTTCAACCGCCCTTCTCCAAAATRGGCGCCAAAAGACATTTTTCAATCTAAGACAATTGCCTTCTAMGATATAAAGTTCACTTAGGCACTGTGTTAACTTATATATAAAACAATGAAAAGCCGATACGAATTTTAAAAACGGCCGAACCATTCTATTTTATGCTCACCCCAATTTCAGCTGACTTGTTCATGATTGCATCTTTTAAGAAAACATCCATCGACTGAAGGGTCTTTTCGTGCTCTTGACGAATGCGTCTTATAATCATCCACGATTCCCTGAATCTCGAARTGATATCCAATTGAATTAMTCGTCTTTCATTTCCTAGAAAATGGCAAGGAATAACAGACTCGTTACACTACCWGGATGCATAGATCSCTTTCATCGAAATTTTGATCGCTGATCCCAAACCCTTTGATCTGTAAACGTTACGTTATCTTCTGAGAAATACATTGGACGTTCGGTCCTGAGCCCATATTCTGTATACAAGGCTGAATGCTATCCCCTCTTATCAAATCAACTGTAATCATTATAGTGACTCTAGAGATTTTAAATTGATGCTTTTAACTCTGATCAAATGTTCTTTTGTTCTAAAAATTCAATTGGTTCTATCAGCTGTGATCAAACGTTCTTTCCTTACCCTTAGTGATTCAATAGAGATTAGTTGATGCTATTAACTYTGATCAAATGTTCTTTTGTTATACACATTTATTCTAGAGATTCTATTGGTTGTAACAGCTGTGATCAAACGTTCTTTCTTTGCCCTTAGTGATTTACTAGAGATTAGATTGATGCTATTAACACTGTTCAAACGTTCTTTTCTTACCCTCAGTGATAGCAGACTCAATTCGTTGGGCGCCCTGAATCAAAGGATTAAGAATCTTTTCATAAGCGTTCTGAAATCCAACCAATTGACTATTCTTGTATTGTTCAAATTGCTTCATGATCGCGCTGCCGTCTTGCCCAACAGTCTCCAGAATCATACAGGACAATTTGTACAGCACTTTCTCCTTTTCGTAGCATTTCTCGATCTTTYTCATTGCCCCTTCTGCCACACTGGTAGAATATGTAGTCATAAGTTCGACCAAAGGCGTTGCCTCGAGCATCTCTGTTAATTATTCATAAATGTTAGGTGCATGCATACAAAATGGCGTCGAACTGCAACAATTATTATCGCAATGTTATATTTTTTCAAGGAGTYGAAATGACTCAGGCAATGGAGTTAAAGCTACTCCATCTGGTGCGGAGTAAGTTTAAAAAGACTGAGTTAAATCTACTCTACAATGCGAGTARTTTTAACTCCAAAGGTTTAAATCAACTCAGAAAGAGAGTCAAGATTACTAGTCCAAAGTGTTAACAAAATTGCTCTTAGAAGAGGAGTCAAAATCACTACTCCATGTGCAGTTMAAATTGGCAGAGTTAAATCTACCCCATGAGAAAAGGAGTTATCTGGTAWCATTTGTTAACTCGTCTTTTGAGTTATATCAAAACTCTTTTAAAATAACAGTGYGATGCAYCSAGTTGTATTACTTACTAATGATCTCTTCGTTCAATGTCTTTGCTGTTGAAAACAACAATATATTTAGAACATTTATTTATGATTCCTGAACTTTACTTAGCTAAATCACCTACCTTGATCTCCAGTAACACAACCTACATTATAGAAAAAGTATAAGTCAATCATAAAATCAGTTTGCAAGGTCAGCTACCTGTACAAAATAGCAGTGAAATATTACAACCAATATTAACAACTCATTAACTTACCAACTACAGACTTCTCTGGAAACAATGAAAAAGAAAAAACAATTAGAAAAATRACATGGTTAGATAACATGATTAAATCTTGGTTGCAATTTTGAAGAGAACGTCATAATTCTTGTTTAGCAATTTTTCATTAATTAGGCCAGTTTACACTTGCTTTTTGCAGAGCGATTCTGGCGCGACCATCGCCTGAGTTTCGAAACAGGCTTAAAAATTGGCTTCAACTTCGCGGTGATTTTCCATCGCCGCAACGATCGCAGAGCTGTTTACACGTACGATTTTAGTTGCGCAATAGCAAAGTGGCGATTTAGATCGCGCTGCAAAAATCGCAATGCAAACGGGGCTTTAGATGTCTCTGATCATTCTTGATCATAGGGAACGCATGTGAGCGCACGCGAGAGAAACCTTTGGCAAATAGATTCTTTGTTAGGTTTAAATGCCATTCTGAAAAAAAGTTCTATAACCAAAAACGTTTATTTTGTACATTATTCCGAGCTTTCGCACCACTCGTGCATCTTCATGGCTATGAAAGAAATTACAACTCATTCTTATCCCTGAAGATTCATCCGTCATACGAGAGCTTTGATTTAAAGAATTATATATATCTTAGAGTGGTTCTCATTAACCCGTGAAAYAAAGTGTAATAGTCAAAGTGTAATAAAGTRTAATAGCCAAGAAATATAATAGAAAACAAAAGAGACAAAGTGTAATAAAGTGTAATACGCTAAAGGGTATTTCACGGGTTAATGAAAACCACTCTAAACGTGTTTGGTTTRACAAAGTTGTTTTTGTAGTATGGTTTTTCACACGCACGATTATATATTAGACAAGACTTATTAACTATAGGAGGTCATACCTGCGTACACCTGTGACATGAATCCCAGCACCAATATAATTATGTACATCATGACAGAACACAATCTAATTAAACAAATTATCACACGATAAATTAAAAAGAAGAATAAATTTAGAACAATGGAATAGAACAAGGGACGAAGTCAAGCGTTTGACATAAGATAGCAATAATYAATAAGTCTAAACATAACCTAATTAAAGACCAAAGACCAAAAACGAAAACGTCTTTTCGGGGTCTGTTTCGTTTCGTTGCTCACTGTTATAAAATCGGCGTTTAACCAGTCTTTTCTCGGACTCTATTCAAGTCAAATTTCGTAAACTTAGTAATATCTTTATCCGCCTCTTTGATGTTTTTATAACTACAATGTATACTATGGCAGGAAAATCCCAGAAAGTCTCTAGAGACTTTTCTAGGMGATTYATACTTGCTTTTGGAGTGCTWTTCAAAAATCCATGAAACAGCTACATAGAGCCCTTAATCCGTGAAACACATAGTATCAAATGCTGCTAAACAAGGTTGATTAGACAATAGGAAACAAACAAACTATCTTTTGTACTGTTCAAGGTTMACTGTTTAAGATAGTCCTACCATTTATTTTTTGATAATTTTTTTTTTTTTGTAGAAAAAAGTGAATTTTAGACTTCAGTGTTTCACCGTACTTTACAAAGAATTGCTGGCAACAAGTGTTGTAACAACTGGGTTTAAAAACTATTACACTATTTTCGAAACCTACTTTTTGTAATAGTGTACCAATATATAGGATCATGTTATACTACTTACCTGGCGATGAATGAGAAGTATGTACAATTTCAGAAAATTCTTAAACCAATACCACTCTCTTTAAAGTAAWAGTAAAATCTGATTTCCTATGGACTGACAAACTGATTGAAGCGAGATTGTAGAGTTGTAAAGCATTCTAATTGTAGGTAATTAAAATTTAACTAGTTTTTAATTGATTTTTTTGTTCTTGTTTAATCATATTCTTAATTAACCATGTAGTTATTTTATGGTAACCACTTCAAACTAAAGACGTTATTTACATCAATTTCGCTTAATTAAAAATGAGTCCACCATTATCTTGGGATCCCTGCGGTTTTGTACGTCCTGTTGCCTTTGCTGAAGCCCTGGTCTGTAAACATTGGTGTTATATACATGCATCAGTACTTTCGGAGAACAATGTGTCTGCCATCTTGAAAAGTGGGACTTGAATCACTAAATYACAACTCCTAAAGGAATTAAAAGATCCTCTGAAGCTAATGTCAAGTTAATATAATACGATATAATGATAGATGACTTGGCAACTACTAAATGTGCTCTGAGGCACAACAAAGTGATTCGGGTCTCACTTTTCAATATGGCGGACGCATTGTTCTCCGAAAGTACTGATGCATGTATTCACTTCTTCTAAATCTCGTACCARGAGTCCGCACTATAGTCATCCAGCKGATGTCAATGCRRCAGCRGACCGCTGACACTTTGTCGCTATTATAACTACTTTTCTCRACATTGCTCTTTCTTTGAGAAAAGAAAATTTAAGGCATAACAAGTCGGACCCTGCAATTTCTTTGGGATACCTATAGACAAATGTATGGAATCGTCGATCCTGAGTGCAGTGTAAATGTTTTCAGATTAAGGGTTATATCATCAGGTTTTATTTTTGTAACAACTTAATAAGCAGCCATTATTTCAAGTTTTCATCTAGTCAGTWTATTTTACCTTTCTTAATTTAAGAACTATAAACAACTTAAAACTATTSGATCTACTTTTTGGCTACTTTAAATACCCACGCATGTGAACATGTCATAACACTTAACCAGCGGATACTCATGCTTGCTTGCTCATGCACCTGACAGCATTTATCATACTAATATCTCTTTTAATCATCCCAGCGATCTCACTGTTTGGTTTTGAATACTTTTTCCTAAGATCGCAAACCATGAACCTTTGGGAGGTACTTAGGCGAGACTGTCTMCCAGTGTCATCMCCTTCATCTTCATAGTTTAACCCATCGTCATAGATGTASCCCGGGTCRTCGCTTTGCTGATTTTGCTGGCAGTTGGCATTGAAGTTGAATTMTTTAGCGGCAGCGTTGACGATTTGCTGAATTTGCTCTTTTGTCGGGGTCTCCATTAAGGCCATTTCTGTACACTTTGTGCTGGCGAGGTCTGCTTTAGTGGAGTGTTCGTTGTAGAGATCTTCGAAACCTTTGCGACCATCTTTACAACTAGTTTAAAAGAATGATATACAAGAACAGCAAGAACAACAAGAACAACAAGAAGAACAAGAACAACAAGAACAACAAGAACAACAAGAACAACAAGAACAACAAGAACAACAAGAACAACAAGAACAACACTACAAGAGCAGCAACAAGAGTACTAAACGCACCACGGAAATTGCCCTATCCATGGAATGAAATCTCAGCTCAAAGTGTTAACATTCTGGTATAGATTTGCTGTAACTCACGCAAATTTGGACAAAACCACCTCAATGTTTTCCCCAAAGAAGGGAAAAGATCAATAGACTAGATCTTACTTACCCTTGTATGATGTTCCCCATGACCTGGAAAATCTTTCTGTAGCAACGAAATCCATCGAGTAATTTCTGCAGATGTATGGAAACTTTCCCCAATGTCACATTGAAACTGTTGATATCACTCCCTCCAATAGGGGTGGCGACAAACTTGTTTAAGAAATCATCAATCTKTCTGACATTAGGGTTCATTGAGCCGGCATACTGTGGTGGCAAACTTTGCAAAATCAATTTAATGGCTGGTTGTACTGAATAAGTATTCATCGCTGTCAAGATGTTATCGGTGTACTATAATKAAAAAATAATTTTTCATTCTATCAAATGTACTTATAAACCCTATAAAGGCTCTTGCAAGCACTGATATAGGTCTTTTTAACAGGTCTTTTTAAAAGCGTGTCATTACACATTGATGCGCAATTCAACATCGTTGAATCACAAACTAAGCTTTAGGTTGCCAAGCGACTTCAAACTCCATCCGACATGTTTGATTCTATATCTAACAACATCCAACAATTTTTTCATTCGATCAAATGTACGTCAAAAAGTGTACCTTAAACTAGAAATGCTTGTAGAGCTATTTTTATTAACATCACAAATTGATGCACAATTCAACATCGTTGGATCATTAACCTAAGCTTTTGGTGGCCAAGCGCCTTCAAACTCCATCCAACATTCTACATCTAGCAACAATCAACATGCGGGCATACTCATACCTCATACACCAATTAACATCCAATAAATTATCCTTGTTTTACAACAATTTCAGGGGTACTTACRAAGTTTTGAACTTTATCCCGATATTCAGACGCAAGTTTCGAAAGACCTAATTCCTGGAGCATTTGRAAGGTGCTTACATACATRCTTGCACTCAGAATAGTGAGATCTCTGACTTTAGCACAATTTTGATTGATWGATATTGAGTCGAATCCACCAAAACCTAAACAATAAACGTAGAACAATAAACGCTTTGATTACAAAGAAGGTTAAAACTCTGTGGCCCTCGTGACCGCCGTGAAGAGGACGTTCACGCGCATGCTCGCCACAGACCACAGGGAATGCGCCGTTACAGACCTTATTACCAATGCACCCCCKTACACCCCCCTCCCAATCTTCAACAGACCTGGGTGTACGGGGGTGCATTGGTAATAAGGTCTGTAACGGCGCATTCCCTGTGGTCTTTGGCGAGCATGCGCGTGAACGTCCTCTTCACGGCGGTCACCAGGGCCACAGAGTTTTAACCTTCTTTGTAAGGTGTTTGTATACTTATATATCACTACTTTCATGTTTCAAGTGAAATGTATGAATCCAAACGTCGTTAGTGTTATACTCTGCCTCAAACAAAAAATAATATTTGTGTTAAAGTCCACCTCACCCAATTTTTTTTACAATTGGAAAAAAAAAGTTTAGGAGTTATAAACCACAAATTCACATAAAAAAAATTCGAATTTCCAAATTTTATATTTTTTATGCTCATTTAATTCGGCCAAATGATTTTTGGCCGAGTGCGAGGGAGCCTGGGTTGATGACGTAGATGGAGTAACTCGTYCTTCGGTAAATACAAAGTTTACTGTACAAGTTTCACATATTTCATTACAAATCTATGTTTTCTAAGACTGAACGTGGGATAATCCAGCCTGAAACGGCAAATCTAATGCTACTAGAGATTATTCTGACGATTTGAACGTTATTTCATGTCTTGGCTATAAAAATGGAGCCAAAGTGTTGAGAGATTATTCTGGACTAACAAGTGTTGCGTATAGATCTAGATAAATATCGAGGAACAGGAAAGTTATTTACGGCCCCAGGTAAGTAACTTCTTTCAATATATGTAGGTAGTATTTACAGCTGTTCAAATTCCAGGTTCTCTTGTTTCAGATTTGATTTTTACTGTCATTTCACTGTAGGTATCTATCGTTGTCTCTCGAACGACTTACTCCCTCTACGTCATCACGAAGACATTGATCAGGCACACAGGAATCCCGAAATTGGCTTTGTCCGCGGTTGTTTTCGCTTCAAAATGTAGTTTAAATAAACGAAATCAAATTTGTTTGTACAAATTGTTGTTACTATGACAAAAGTCTTTTCTTTACAAATATAAAAAAAATTGGGTGAGGTGGACTTTAAACTGAGCAGCCGTGTGGTAGCTACAAGGTCTATTCAAAATGGTCTATTCAAATCTATTTAAGATTGCGGCAGTACTTTTCTATCAATCGTACCTTCTTTAAAAGAATCAAGGGTTGTATTCACACTTGTTGAGTATGTTTTCGCTTCATCATATCCCACGGCCAGGCCATCACGGATAAGCTTGGCCGTCTCCCTGATCGCACTGCTTGTTTTCAGCTCAGAAAAACTCTCGTACCTTTCAGCTTCATCTCTATCGTCACTATCAAAGGTCAATGATCTTTCGAGCTTTGTATTGTGTATTGCAAAAGCGGCCTAAGAAAAAAAAAGTAAATTATCATTAATATATAATTTTACTGGGAATGATAATCCAAAATTATACTTTTCCTCCTTTTTGAATTTATCTTACTTTATTCCGATCTTTTCGGATTTCGTTATCACGTAAAAACAACTATAACATATCTACAAAGGTAAATAATAATATTATACAAATATTATTTTTGCTTGACAATTCTAAAATAACGGTTTATTTCTCCAGCACACTAACTTTTAGTTGTGAGCAGTAGTTTGAGCTCAGTTCATATAGCTTTTACAATCAACTATCGGGAACTTTTAAAGGTTTTAAAAACATTAAGTACCTCATGGCAGTAAAACATAGTAACTAGGCTTTAGCGACCTTTTTACATCATTATACCTGGCCGATAATGTAGTTTCTCAAGTACTCGTTGTGCTGGTATATAAGGTCGGTCTTAGCCAGAACCTTGTAGTACAAGAAAATCAGCTTATCAACGTTGATAACTTCGTCAGTCCTTCGCAAATCACTTTTCACGCTCTTATATGAATATTTATTACCAGCGTTTCCTTTCCTCACGTAACACTATGAATAGAGAATACAATTCGAGTTTGCCTTAATGACGTATTGCATATTTTAGCGCAGTGCACGAAGGTATTGAAAAGTATCAAGATGGCGGACGTCTCAGTATCGACCCTACAAAAGTATAATAATAATAAGTTAATTATGTTTCTTTTTAATGAAGAAGTTTCTGCATGGCAAAATTAACGGTTGTCAATTGTCGAAAATGCTTTTGACTACACTTGACTGCTGAGWCATCTTATGTAATAGCGTTCTCGAYAGCTTTGATTTGGTCCTTCGTAGACATTCGCCATCTTGATTATGTTATCAWTACCAAGATGTACTTCGCCAAATAGACAATACTTCATTAAGGRAAACGACCATCAAGTATTTAATCAATATTATAGACTTAAGGAAATGTTAGAAAATGACATTCTCACCGAAATACTGGCCACCTTCTGTACAAGTGCATCTTGTAGGAAAACATCCATCGACTGCAGGGTTTTTTCATGTTCCTGACGAATGCGTCTTATCGTCAGCCATATATCCTTAAAACTTGATGATATGTGCATTTGAATTAATCGCCTTTCATTTCCTAGAGAACAAAACAGTTCTGTCAGCTAGTTCTTTCAAGTGAAGACAAAAAGCATATGGAAAAAGTCGCGCACTTTAAAAGGTTGTAAATTTGATGAATTTGTAAGTGTCCAAAATGATGTAAATTTAATGGAAATCATTTACATCAAATTTACATCATTTTGAACACTAACATAATATTTACATCAAATTTAAAACCTTTAAAGTGCACGACTTTTAACAGCGCACTTCCTGAAATTCCTGGAAAAATCGCCTCATGGTATGCTAGATGCTAAACTGGCAGTAAAGAAAATCTGATTTCCAATAAAGAACCTTTAGTCGATTCAGCTTGTGGGTGCAAGTGGATGCGAAACTCCTTCCCTGACTTTGTAGCCTTTTCCCCTTCTTTGGGTATAGTATACTATCACTTTTATAGAATGCAACTTCTCCTGGATCCGACCATGAAGACGAGAAAATCATTTCTGCTACATCAAGACTTCATAAGAACCTGGAACTCTGTTTTGTAGCCACTCTTGAGACCTCGTTTTCGTTTACTCTCAGCGATGYAATTATTCTGAATCCGAGTTTGATCAAGAGTCCTTTACATACCTTCAGTTATTTTAGATTCGATTCTTTGGGCACTCTGAATCAAAGGATTGAGAACCGTGTCATAAGCGTTCTGAAATCCAACCTTTTGGCTTTTCTTGTATTGCTCGAACTGTTTCATAACCGCGCTGCCGTCTCCTCCAAAATTTTCGAGAACCATGCAGGACATTTTGTGYAATACTTTCTCCTTCTCAAAGCATTTCTCKAGTCTATTCATTGCTGCTTCTTCCACGTTKKTAGAAAGTGTTTTCATAAGCTCGACAAAAGGCGTAGCTTCCAGCATCCCTTTTTTAAAAACGTTTGATAAATTATTGTATGACTGTGAAAATCCTGAGCTGAACTAGCACTACTCATGCKCGACATTACGCACRATACAAAATGSCCGTGTGWACCRCGAATGGTCTCAGGCKTTTGATTCAAGGATCAAAATCATTATACACCTATTTCAAAAAACGTTGTCGTCGCCAGGAATCAGTCCACAGTCTTGAGCCTGCAAGGAATCTCGGGATTGCCATATATTATKTGTTCAATTTCAGTTATTCGAAATACTCCGATTTAGAGTTCTGGTTTGCTCTGTGTTAGCTCCAAAACCAATCAACATATTCTTTTGTTTCATTGATAGCCCGAGAAAACGCATGGAATTTGAAAAGAGAGTCAATAGAATTGATTTGAAATCTCACACTTTTATTCTCACAATTAGGAATATTTTGCGAACAAATTAGGCTAACACAGAGCATTGAAGAATACGAAACTGGATTATTCTCGGTCTCATAGCGAATATAGCTTTGAAACTCATTGACGTTTTAAAAACGTGGAATATTCATTTCAATGAGGAAAATGTCTATGGCGAGACTTGTTCTATGGGCCGCAATAGTATATTAGTAGTGTTTGCCGCCATTGAATTCAAACCACAAAAYATTTTGAATATATTAATTACGCATGGAAACCCCGAGATTCTTTGCAGGTTCAAGACTGTGGACTGTGTCGTGGTGACGACAACGTTTTTTGGAATAGGTGTATACAACATGTGACGGGGTRAGCATACATTTCAAGTCATATGGTGCAAATTCATAACGTTAATCTTTTTATAGATAATAATTTCAAGCTTAACAGTTACCTGTATTTATTTTACTTACCATTAATGGCTGCATTAAGAGTTTTTGCTGTTGAAAATTWATTCATGTTAATAATATAAAAGGACATACTTTGATTCTCTTCGAAACGGCGAAAAAATCTTTTCCTCCGGTCCGACTAATTGTAAAAGGTGTCTTTACGTAAAATAAAAGGAAGAGGAAAAATCAGAAAAAAAAAACACATTTTCTTTGTATAGCAAAATACTGTTAATCATGACGACTACTGACATTTTGAATTTGGACATCGGTATCATCTGCTATCATTTCCTCTCATGATCAACTGTCAGCGTTTAGACCTCCGTACTAAGCATTCTGTGAGCTAAGACCAACTAATCATAAATTTGGTCAAATAAAGTAAATATTTTAGAATCTTGAGATTTTTTGAATTCTTTAAGATTTGGTCTCCTTAGCTTTACCTTACCTTGATTTCCGGTTATACAACCTATGTTAATATAAAGATAATAATCCAGATAAGTATAAATAGTCCAAACAGTATTCTAAATAAATACACAAATAGATACATAAATCGGTGGCGGATCCAAGGGATGGGGGGGGGGGGGGTCCATGGGTTCCTAGGAACCCACCTCAAGGATAAAAAAAAAAAATAAATAAATAAAACAAATAAATAAAAAAATGATAAATTAAATAAAATGAAAACGCATTTACAATGAATTTTCATCATAACACACTCACGCTATATTTGCTACAGTTCGAGAAGCACAGCAAAAAAGTTCGTTTTAGGAAAATGCGAAAACAAAGTGGAACCCCCCTTTGAAAAATCCTGGATCCKCCACTGTAAATACACTTCTAAGTAACACAAACAAATTCAAAAACTCACCAATGACAGAGTTCTCGCTCTCTGGAAATAATACATGTAAACAAATTCATGAAAAAGGTATTTAAAAAAACATCTCTCAAAGTTTTTGTTAGATTTTAACTACTAGACTTTATTGTTTGAAGGACCTAAAATCAAACCGAGTACCGGAAAGGGGTTATCGTATTATTTAGCCCTGTGCAGTGTGCAGTACCAACGAATGACGTTTGGGTCGGTTTGGTGTCGGTTAATTTTCAATATGGCGTCCAATTTTTTGTCATTTTTGGCCGAATTGAGGTACTTTGTTGTAGGCGTTTTTAGTTATATATTATATGTTTTTTTTCTAGTTTTTTTAACCAAATATTTGGAATTGAATGTAATTGAATGTATTTCTAAGTGATATATTGGTAGGTTTAATGAAGGAAGCAATCCCATACCTGCGTTCAACTGGGATACAAATCCAAACACCAAAAYCATCAAAAACATCATGATTGGGCACGATCTACTGTAATTCAAAAAGCAATATAACAAGTGAATAATAAAGTTAATAAAAAGATGTTACTGACGAAATGTTATAAAAATAATTATAATAAAATTCAATTTGAAGGCAAAAACGATTTCTTCAGTTTGTCGCGAGTGGTATAAGTATTCATACATGTACACCAAATCCGTAAAATACTAGTGGTAATAATTCACTGAATACTCCAATTTCTGGTTTGCTCTGTGTTAGCCTCAAAACCAAGTAAAATATTCTTTTGATTTATTAATAGCCCGAGAAAATGCATGGAATTTGTGAAGAAAAACAATAAAATTGAATTGAAATCTCACACACTTTTATTCTCACAATTAGGAATATTTTGCGCACAAATGAGGCTAACACAGAGCATTGGAGAATTCGAAACTGGATTATTGTGGTGATAAGAGTGCTTTCAGAAATAAAGTGTAATAATCAAAGTGCAAAGTGTATTCGCCGAAAAGGCAAAGAAAAACAAGAACAAGAACACTAGACTGTATTTCATGGGTTAAAGAAAACACTCAGTAATCGTGAAACAGTAATACTATTTTGTGCTATTTTTGTACTATTTTATGCTAGTTCTTTTGTTCCTTTTGATCAACTGCCATATTTTGCAAATCAGTATTAGTGTTTCACGCTTTTACTGAAAGYACTCTATGCGTGAACTGGAAACAAAGTAAAGCATTTTAATTAGACTATGCTAACTTAGAACGTAGGTTTTTGTTTGCTAGTCAATTTAAAGTAATGCAAAAAACACTTCATATCTGAGCTACAAAAATAAACCTTTTGTAACTTCAAGCTGCGGATAATTAAAATCAATTAAATAGTCCACTTATTGGAATTACTTACTGAGTCATTTTCCTCAGAAGTATTTCGTGAAAACTTGGCARATTAGTACGTCTTATACTACTTACCGGTGAAAAATAGGTCTTTACTCTCTTTGTACTGAACCCTGTCTAAAAGYCAAATCAATCTAATTTCCTATATATTGACGGTAAAGCCGCCTAAAGCATCATTATTGAGTTGTAGAGATTTTAATTAAACTGATTAAAATTTAACCAGATTTTTATTAATCTTTTCATCCTTATTTACTCACGTTGTCTTTACCGTGTGAAGGTTTCGTCGAAGGGCGAACGTCGAAACTTTAGTAATTCGGTTCAAAATGCTTTTGATATGTACGCCTTGTAGTTTCAGTGAGTTAAAGGATCATGGTCAACAGGCATTCAATGCGGTCGTGTGTTAAACTATACTGACATAAATGAAAAAAGAGGTGACTTCGAATATTCACAATCCGTTTCCATCCGTCGGTTTTAAGGTCGAATCTTACAGTATTTCGATTCATATAGTATATATGGGATTATAAAGATTAAGTTTGTTTGTATTACGATGTATTTTTATTTTCAAACATAACTGAAAAGACGAAAACATTTAATGGTTTGCACAAGGGTAAAAARACAAAAACATTTTTGTTACTAAAATAGTAAAATTTTCAAGCTTTCACCAGAATTTAGAGGCAAAATATAACTAACAAAGATATTRACACTTATTTTAGTATTTCATGAAATTCGCTTGGCGGGGTTTTTGGATTGGGATTCCTTTGGTTTAGCTGGAGGCCTGGTTTCTAATGGTTTCGAACATGGCCGACACGATYGTTCGACATGTTACTCGCTCTTGTTCTCTAATGTATCTGGAAGTAAAATACATTTTAAAGTCCTAAAAGCCAAGGAACATTATCCAAAAAGATTTCAAACAAATTCCTATGATAAGGTGAGCAAAATGAGTAAATGCTTCTCGCTTGATGTTTCAAAGTTGTGAAGTCATTTGGCAACCTCGTGCTAGCAGCCAAATAGCCAAATTAGCGCAAAATAATATGAATTAGACAATAGAAAACAAAAGAATTCGCATAACTGTAGAATTTAGCAATATTCAATGATTTTTTCATTGTTCTAGTGTTTGCACTCATATTACTTAATTGCTCTCGATTTTTTTAAACTAATTAAATTTAAGCTTAATACAACTGAACAGTCTTCAACGATAAGTATATTTTTGTATAATCAGTTTATTTTACTTTAAAATTACGTTTTGAAATCTAAGAATTATATACAACCTAAAACTAGTCCCAGCTACTTCTAGGCATCCTTTAAATATTAATATATATTCAAATATTTTATAAAAACAACATCCTCAGTGCATACTGAAGTTTGCAAAGGATCATTGTAGATATTATTGATCCAGTATTAATTGGTTATTGCGAGAATTGCTTGCTTTCAATCATCTGAATTCCATTGCTTAACACTGCAAAATTTAGTTATCAAGCTAAGTTTTAACAGATTACACTCTGGTTATAAGGTTGAGTTTTTAATTCTTGACAATTAGACCACCTTGCAGTTCAAGGAAATGTATCTCCAATACACCTTTTCAGTTGCTCTTAGGCCTCGACAGYGTGTTAAATATTCTTTTGAATTTGTAGGAATGTAAGCAATGCAAACATTGATATGAATAGTCTCATTTGTCAAATTCAAAAGAATAATTAACTTGCTATCGAGGCCTAAGTGCAACTGAAAAGGTGTATTGGAGGACAAAATTATGGGTTGTAGTTCCTAAGAGGGCAAATGTTTTTGTTTTGTTCTCCAGATGAGCTGCTTTGACGTTACATGTTTAGGGTCTATATTCCATATATTCCAAAGTACTAACCCTCTTGAAAGGTAGCAATGATAGATACCTTTTGTACACACTTAAGACCGTATTATTCACAGGCATCTATCATTGCAAGCTCAACTGCAGTCTYGCTTTGATGCAAATAAAGCTCGGCTACCTTTCAAGATAGTGACAGGAACTTTAAAATGGAGTATTGACAGCCTTCTCTTATACTCTAGTACAGCTAATGATGTGCCTTTTTTGTATCATCAAAAATTAGTTATTTGGATTTTTTTGCTTTTGTTTATTATGTATAATTAGTATGATACTGAGCTGAAATTATACTTATGACTACGAATCACTACAAATTATTATTATAATGTTCAATAGTCGAACTATCAAATGCATGMTACAGCATATGAAGTGCAATGTATGCAATAAGTGTACGGATAATGCATACTAGTTATTATGTAATACATATTCAGCCTTAATGTAATGCAATATTATTATTACATAATTCTCGATATTCCACATTCTGGTGCAGTGACCATGAACAAGGCATTGGTCCAAGGACGTCAAAGTACAGCAAGTATACAAGAAAAGTTCTGYCTTCACTAGTGTTCCTTGATGCCTCAGTTCGGTGCTTTGTTTGTGGTCACTAAACGGTACTAAGTTTTGAAAGTCATGAATACATAATTTTATTTATTTATTACACAGAATGCAAACACTAAAAAGTGTTTTAAACACTTTAAATTAGTGTGGAGGCACGACTCAGAGTGCTTCCAGTAAAACTGTGAAACACTAATTTAACTTTCTGTAAAATAGTGCYAGTTGAACAAAAGAAAACAAAAGTATTAGCATAAAATAGTACAAAAATAGTATTACTAATGTTTCACGCTTTTGTTTGATAAAAGCACTCTAATAAACCATGCAACAAATATTACAAATYATTATTTAAATGTTGATTATACAATGAGAAAACAAAGGAGTATATGTAATTGTAGTGCTTTTTATGACTTCACTCGCTAATTCCTTTGGGTCTACTAACCAAATAGAGTGCAAGTCACATAAGCATGACACAATTCTTAACTATGTAGTGCTAAATAAGATTTAGTTATCAACTAACTAAGAATTGAGAACAATGCTACAAAGGAATTTAAAATAGTAATTGGCATTGTGTTTATGCTTTGTTGAATTCTTAGTTAGTTGATAACTAAATCTTATTTAGCAATGCATATTAAGAATTGTTTCATGCTTATGTGACGTGCACTCTAGTGCTAAATATAGTGCTAATAGGCTTTTTGCATTTAATGGTCACATATGTTACCAGAGTCTTTTTCATCCATCATTGAAATAGAAAT